TGTTTAAATAATTATTTTAAAATTTCCCTTTAATTTCTTCACTGACCCATTGGTTATTTAAGAGCATGTTGTTTCATTTCCAAGTATTTGTGTGAAAGTTTCCAAAGTTGTTTGTTGTTGTTAATTTCTAGTTTTATAATATTGTGGTTAAAAAAACTTGATTTAATTTTATCCTGTTAAATTTGTAATACTTCTTCTGTGGCCTAGCATATCATTTATATTGAAGAATATTTTTTGTATAGTTAAAAAGAATACATATTCTGAAGCTGCTGGATGGAGTGTTTCGTAAATATTTGTTAGATTCATTTGGTGCAGTTAAAGCCTGATGTTTGTTAAATTTTTTTGTCCATTGTAGAAAGTTGGGTATTGATATTTCTTATTATTATTGTGTTATAGCCGATCCCTCCCTTTAGATCTAATAATATTTGTTTTATATAGTTGGGTGCACTAGTGTTGGGTGTGTATATATACATCTATATGTATATATATGTACATAGATATATGTATACACACTTGTTATTTTTGTTGTTCAGTTGCTCCTTTTATCACTACACAATGACTTGCTTTATCTCATTTAAAATTTTTATTTAAAGTTTATTTTATCTGAAATGAGTGGCTACTTTCTCTGCTTTTTGGTTTCCATTTGCATGGAGTATCTTATCTTATTCCTTCACTTTCAGTCTGTCTTTAATAGGGAGAGGAGTCTCTTATAAGCAGCATATAGTAAGGTCTTTAAAAAATTATTCACCACTCTGCCTCTTTTGGTTGGGAAATTTTATCCATTCACATTCAGGTTTATTGTTGATAAGTCGAGAAATATTCTTCTCATTTTGGTAATTGTTTTCTGGTTGTTTTGTAGGTTTTTGTTCCTCTCTTATTCTTTTGCTGTTGGCCTCTCTAATATGGTGGTTTTCTGTATGCTCAGCTTTGTTTCCTTTCTTTGCTTCATTCATTCATCTGCTGTAATTTCTTTCTTTATGCTTAACATGGGGCTAACATAGTCTTGTAGTTATAATAGACTATTGTAAACCTGTATGTTGTTGTTTTTACCATTTGACTTTAAATCTTCATACTAGAGGCATGAAAGATTTACATAGCACCATATCACTGAAAACTTCTGAGTTTGATTTATGCATTTATTTCTATTGGTATTATACTTTCATGTGTTTTCATGATAGCAATTATATCTTTACTGAATATAGTACTATTGGCTGGCGTTTTTTTTTTTTTTTTTTTTTTTTTTTTTCCTTTTGGCACTTCCAATATATCACTTTGCTCTCTCTTGGCCTATAAGGTTTATGTTGAGCCCCTATACATGATTTTATGCTTTTCTCTTGTAGTTTTTGGAATTGTCTCTTTATCTTGTCTTTGACTTTTGGCAGCTTCATTATAACGTGATCTAAAGGGTAACTTTTTGAATGTTATGTCTTTGCAGACCTTCACTTTTCCTGGATCTGAATGCCCATATTTCTCCAAGACTTGGAAAGTCTTTACCTATTATTTTTTAAATTGGTTTTTCATGCCTTTCTCCCTTTCATCTCCCTCTGACAATTCGATAGCATAAATATTTGTTTGCTTAATGTTGTCCTAGAGGTCTTATAGTCTTTTTAAATTCTTTTTAAATTATTTTTCTTTCTTTCTGAATGGGCTATTTCAAAAAACTTCAAGTTTAAAAATTCTTTTGTTTTATCTAGATTGTTATTGAAGCTCTCAATTGTATTTTTTAAATTTCTATTTTTGAATTCTTCAGCTCCAAGACTTTGTTTATTTTTATATAATACCTATCTCTGTTGAATTTCTCATTCAAATCATGAACTGTTTTCCTAATTTCATTGAAATTTTGTTTATGTTCTCTCATATCTCACTGAATTTTCTTAAGATCATTATTTTTGAATTGTTTTTCAGGCATTTTGTAAATATTTTTTTCTTTGAGGTCTGTTACTGGAGACTTATTGTGCTCCATTGGAGAAGTTATTTTTCCTCCTTTTTCCATGTTTCCCGTGTCTCTCTGTTGATATCTATGCATTTAGTGGAAGGGTTGCTTTTTCTAATTTTATGGAGTAAATCATAGATGAGTCCTATGGGTTGTTTGGGTATGGTGCATTGGCTTTGGTTTCAGTTGGACTCAGTAGTGTGGCCTCTATACAGTTTCTTCAGTTTTTATCCTCATTAGTGATATCTGGGATAGCCTCAATGACTTAAGCTGCAGAGGTTTGTGATAGTGGTGACATGTTTTTGCTGAGGATGAGGGCACTAGGTTGGATTTCTAGCCCAGTGTAAGTGGGCATGGAGGGCCAACAGGGTATCTGGTGGGCTCTCTGTGCGGGGCTGGGTAACCACTGGGCTGACTGTCAAGCTATATATGCACAAGCAGGCTGGCTAGCTGTGTGATGGTCTTTCCAGAAAATCAGGGCAAATGCAGTGGCATGGTTGACTGTTCAACAGCTTCCCTTCTATGCAGATCCATCAGTTTCCTGCAGAGAGGTTGTGGAGGTATTGTGTAGATTTAGATGCTAGGATCTCAATAATTCTGTCAGATCCAAGCTGTAGGCAGCCAAGGGCATAGTGTTCCAGACATTCACGGAAATGTGATGGAATGACAGCAGGCACTCAAAGCTGAAAAGAGTCAATAATCCCTGGTCCCTAGAGCAGGACGTGCTTTAGTAGTGTGTCCAGTTTCAAGATGTCACTGTGCCGAATCAGCTTAAGAGTGGAGGCAAAGGGATCTCGATGTGGGCTCCTTTTCTAAGACAATGCAACCACAAAACCTCTCAAATACTCTCTAAACTGGATAGGAGGCCTGTGAGGAATGGGGGACCCTCCTGAAAAAAAGGAGGAAACAGTAGAGGGTTCTGGGAAAAAAAGACACAGATGGAGCAGCAAAAGTTACTGATAGATGTTAGAATTCAGTCAACAGCCAAAAAAAAAAAAAAAAACAAAAAAACAAAGTTTGACATAGAAGTAGGGAGAAAGAGTCTATTGCTGTATACAAAAGTTTCTCATTCTCCTGGAGACATAAGGGAACAAATTCCGCTCTTGTTCCTTTTTCATAAAGCACGGAACTTCCAGGCTACAGACACTAACTCTTGGCCAGCACTCTCTCTAGTGGTGGACCTATGAACTACCCCTCTGCACTTTTCTCTATTCCATGAAAATGCAGAAGACGTTCACTATTTAATAGTTGTTTATTACATCTGGGGAAAGAGAAATACATCCATATTATACACATATCCATATATAAAATATAGATGTATTCATATGTATAAAAATCCATACATATATAGATATTATATATATTCATACAAATATATTTATTATATTTATATAATATATCCAATATATTGGATGTGTGTGTGCATATATATATGCATTTCCAATAAAGAAAGTAATTTCCAATAAAGTAAGCATTTCCAATAAAGACATGAGATCCCACCTAATAGGAAGAAGTGGCACCTGCAGAGAACAAACTTGCAAAGATATTCGGGAACCCAGAAATCCATGATAAGGGAATGGATCTGGAACAGGCGATGTGTAATTTACTAGCTGTGAGTTCTGATAGTTCACATAAGCAATCTATGCCTCAGTTTCCTTAACTGATCTATTTGGGTTGACTGTATGTCCCAGCTTGCCTGGGACAGTTTTGGTTATGCCAATTGTCCCATATAATTATTAATAATTCTGATTTTACTCTCTAAAGTGTCCCATTTGGGTGATGAATGATATGGTCACCATAGTTATGTGATCCAAGGGTAGTTTTTATATACTTTCATGGGGAGAAATGATTAAGTATGGAGCAACTGAGATACAGCCAGGAGTCAAGTGCTTGGTACTCAGTGCATTTTTAAACTAAGGTTTTGTCTGGGGAGCTAATTTCACCAATGATTTTAAATGTCTCTTTGTATCTTCAATGTGTTATATAAGATGAGAGAACGGAGAGAATATAAGCTCTGGATCTTATCAAATTAATAAAGTTCACACTACCCAGAAGGCAGGAAAACTCTTGTATTACACATTTCTCTGCATTTTCTGGCCTCTTGAAATCCTTAAAAATATTTAAAATCTTTCACAAATAACTGAGAAACACTGACATTTTCACTGTATTATAAAAAAGTATGGAAAAGGACAGAAAGCAATGATAATGAAAGCATTATAATTTGGGTTTGGCTTAAGCTGGGCATTCCTACAGCCGTGCATTTTATTTCTATAAAACACACACATATGAAACAACTTTAATATCAAATAACAAGTGATCGGAGGAGTAATTATAGAGCATCCATACAATGCAACATATTGCCGCCACTAAAAATGATGGTATGGAGTTATATTTATTGACATGGAAAATAGCTCATAACATACCATCAAATGAAAAAAGCTATTGCTTACAAGTAGGTGCAATATTATTGTAAATTTATGTACAATTACATAATATATAGTTATATGTGTTTATATGGTTTAGAAATGTCTAAAGTGTTCATCCGCGTATTAATAGTGATTATCTCTGGGTGAGGTGATTGCAGAGAACTTTTATTTCCTTTCTATTTTTTAAACAATGAATATGTTTCCTTTTAAAAAACACAAAACATACAATTTACATGAAATTACAAAAGGAATTCTCTTAAACTGTAATTCAGAGGTTGAAATACTTGTGCACAGATGATGAGAATAGGCATTGATATTCGAAAGCTAAATAGTCAGAACCTACACACAATTAGAGCTCTTTTTACCATCAGTATTTGAGCCTTCCCGTAACTCCATTTCTTGTAATTACCCCCTCATCACCACCAAGAAAAAACAGTAGACCCTAAATGTGGCACCACAATTCCTGTGGTGCCAGTCTTAAAGAAGGTGCCAAATAGCTTCGTCCCCTGATTTAATACCTTTGTGCAAACCTGTGCCATCTCATGTGGGCTGGACTTGGTGACTAACTTCTGTCAATAGAATTAAACAGAAATCACATGTCATAAAAGTAGTGTGACATCACCCAGAATCTATTGCTCTAGTTGTCATGTCACCACTTAGGCAGACTATGGAGAGATACATAGGGTGAGAAACGGAGGCCTTCAGCCAGCAGCTGGGGAGAAGCTGAGTCCCGTCAACAACTTAAAAGACTGCAGCCCCAGCCAACAGCTTGATGTAACCTCATGAGAGACCCTGAACCACAACCACCTAGGTAAGCCACTCCCAGATTCCTGACCCACAAAATGATGTGGAATAAGAAATATTTGTTGCCACAAGCAGGTAAATTTTGGCAAAATCCATTACAAAGCAATGGATAACTAATACAGTTTTAAACTTATTTGAGAAGTTCTGTCTCAGGAACAAGTAGCTAAGGAACCCTAATCTCAGCCAGCCTTTGCCTTTGCCAGGCTCACTTGCTTCTGCACTGATAAAAAGATTCCTTGAATCAGCTGTTATGTGTGTTTTCTTTCTTCAATATCAATCATGTTTCCTGTTCTTGGCACTTAGTATCCAAGTCGGATATCTCAAAGACACGTGACAGTTGTTTTTAGGTTGAAATCTTGCCTGAAATAGAGATTCCAGATGCACTGCTTGTTCTGATCTCTGAGTCCTGACTATTCTTCCATTTAGTTGGGACTTCCTGAATTTTCTGGGCAGAGACTCATGTACCACCTGGACATCTTCCTTTGGCCAGTGACACCACAGTACACACTTGTAAGCACTATTTCTCTAAAACAGTATAAGGGGATGAACATTTATTGACTGTCAGTGTTTTAGATAGGATTTAATTATTCAAAATGCTCTGAAAAGAATTATTTTCATTGTATAGACTGAAGGCTCAGAAAGGGTTAAAAATGTCCTGAATCATGGAGTTGGTAAATGCAAACCCATGTTTGCAACTTGTACATATTTGACTCATATACGCATGTACTTAACCCAAATAATGTATGGTCTCCCTAACAGATAGTTCTTTGCGGTAAGCCAAGCGGGAAAAAATCTTTCTGACAGCCCCCTTAGCTGCTTCCCTGAGATCCTTTCACCTATATATTCATTCCTCTTCAGTGGTCATGTGTCTGAAGTTGGTTCCTTCCGGTGGGTTCTTGGTCTAGCTGACTTCAAGAATGAAGTCGCCGACCTTCGCGGTGAGTGTTACAGCTCTTAAAGGTGGAACGGACGGAAAGAGTGAGCCGCAGAGAGGTTTACTGTAAAGAACGAAAGAACAAAGCTTCCACAGCGTGGAAGGGGTCCCGAGCCGGTTGCCGCTGGGTCCCCGGCTTCATTCTTGAAGTCAGCGAGACCAAGAACCCACTGGAAAGAACAAACTCCGTACACAATGACAAACCTAACCACAGCAAGGAGAACATTACTATTATTCATGCCACTGGCACGTCGGGTCTGGAATTGTTTTGCATGACACTTTCCCGGTAGATGCTCCTCCTGGGTCCATTCTAGTATATCACTATGCTACCTGTCTACCAAAGTTTATCCATGTGCAACTTCTTCCTCAACTTTACAGTAGGGACTCTGCTCTCCTGCTAGGATGGAAGTCTTCCAGGTGCCAATCATCTGATTTAAAACTCTGACAAGCTATGTGGCCAAGTCCTTTTCCTGGGTGGGTACTGACCTTGGCTTCCAGACACCTTTCCCCCTTGATTTATTTCCAAGAATGAACAAAGAAGAGCAGATCAGGTACAAATAGGCACAATCGTAATATTGTTACCGACTGCAGGTTTTGTGTAGTTCTATCCCACACACTGTATTCATTATCCCTTTATCATCTTGGGGTCATTTTCATTTCATTAAACCCCTAAACCAGTTGTTCTAAACCTTAGTGTGCATGAGATTCGCATACTCCACTACTTGCTTCTGTGAACGTGGAGAAGACAAAGTTCTTATCTAAGCCTCAGGTTCTTTTTGTAGTGGTTGTTTTTCATAAGAACTATCCTATAATGTGGCTATAAAAATTAAATAAGATAATCCATTGGAAGCACTCAGTATGCTTCAAGACAAATAGCAAATGGCAGTGTTCTTTGTTATTAAAAGGCACAGGTGGGGCCTTTGGATGCCCATTTTTAATAAGCAACTCTAGCGATTACAACACAACTTGCCATTAGAGCATACTACAAGAATTACTAACAGAAGACAACTAAACCTTGTGTGGTTATTTTGATATTATTGATCTTATGCATTCTCTAGTTTCTCTTCTCCTTAGCCTTTGCATCTAACTCACCAGGGAATGTTCTCTCTGTTTTTAGACTTTTCTGTTTTATTTCTGAGATGCTAAATAGCTGTGTCTCTCTTGCAAGAGATTTAATTTAATTTATTTTTTATTTTTTTATTTTTTCAGACTGACAACCTGGCAATAGTGATTGTGTGGAAAGTGGCCTGCAGCTCTCCCATGTTCCACCAGAGCCCCTTCCTCTAGAATTAGTCCATAATCTGTATTGGTTGTTGTTTTTTCCACATCCACTCAAATAACAAATTTTTCAGGATGCAAAGTATATCTTTGTTTCTGGAATAAGATCCCAAAGATTATGAGCTACTTGCTAGTCATGGAAATGTCTATGATTTAGTATTAAATTTCAAGACAAAAAGGCACTTCCATTTTGGTTATGATGGATAATGGATTTTGGAATTATTCTTTGCTTGTGCAAACAACAATCACATGAAAAACGGGACAAATAAATGGAACTAGTTTTAGGTCTTGGCAACAGAGATCTCAGAATGCATGTTCTTAAATGTCAGAAACATTCATCAAGATAGCCCTTATATTGGACAATAAAATGTTTCAATAATCTTTAAAATTAAAGCAAACATATTGACCATAATACAATTGCATTAGAAGCCAATTAAATATTTCTAAAAATACCCAAAATATTTAGTAATAAACTGGAACAAAGTAATAATCTATAATAGTATTATTTATAATTAAATCAATACTAAATACAAAATAATGCAAGATAAAATAATTTAAAATTAATTATGTATAATTTCTAATATAAAATGACTATAATATTTAGATAAAATTTGTGGAATTAAGCTAAAGTATTGCTTGGAGAAAAATCTATAACTTCAAATGACTTAATTAAAAAGGAAGACAGGTTTAAGATTAATAATGTCAGTTTAAACATTTGGAAACTAGGAAAAGAAAGGTAAATTGATATTAAATAACTGAAAGGAAATAAAAAGGATGAAAATAAAAACACATAAACAAGAATACCAAACAGTCAACAAAAACAAAGCATCACTCATTGAAAGGACCAATAAGATTAATACACCTCTAGATTAAATGATCAAGGAAAGAGAGAAAACACAAATTATCAATATCAGGAATGAAGGAGAAAGCATCGCCAAGAATTCTAACAATATTACAAGAATCTCAAAAGATAATTATGAAAACTTTTGTAATAAACTCTTCAAGTTAAATTAAATAGAAAAATTCCCTGAAGTCATATTCCCAAAACTGTCTCAAGACAAAATAGAAAAAGCTGTGTATCTATTAAAGAAAGTTAGTTTCTGATTAAATATATTTTAGTCAAGGAAACTCTAGGCATACATAGCTTCCTTAATATATTCAGGCAAATATTTAAAGTACTGCACGTCTTTTTTACAGAAGATAGAGAAGGAAGCACTTTCCAATTCATTTTGTGAACTATCATTACTGTGACAACAAAACCAGACAGATATTACAATGAAGCAAATCTCAAGACGGATCTCTCTCAGGAGCAGATGCAAAAATTCTTAAAATAAATATTAACAAGTTATGTCTGATAATAGACTGTAATCAAGTCACATTTATTCAAGGCATGCAAGGTTGGTTTAACATTGCAAAGTCAATCAATATACATTATCATATTAACAGATTATTGAAATTACTAATGTATTTAGTTTCATTTCAATAAATGCAGAAATATTTAATACAAATTCTCAGCAAACTTAGAATAAATGGGGACTTCCTCAGTCTGATAAAGACATGTATAAATAATCTTCAGCTAAGATCTTATTTAATAGTGTAGCCATAATAAAAAACAGGACAATAATATCCATCCATTAAGAGGGATATTGCTTTCCCCATTGTGTTGGAGCACCTGGCCAGTGCAATAAGAAAACAAACAAGCAAACAAATAGTATGTGTAGCTTTTGCAATAACATAATGATGACAAAAGTTAGGAATAAACTAAGGGACACATTTATAAAACTTAATAAAAAGTATAAAGCATTGCTGAAATAAATTTAAAGATTCAAATAAATGCAAAAATATACCATATTAACAGCTTTGAAGATTGAATATTGTTCCTGGGTTGGTTCTTTTCAGATTGATAGATTTTATACAACACTAATAAAATTACAGTAGGATTTTGCCACAATGATTTGAAAGTCATACGTTCATTGTAAAAGTCATGTATTCATTTCAAAAGTTATAATTGCCAAAACTGTTTTAAAAAGGAACAAAATTGAATTTAATATAAAGCTTCAGTGATCAAAGGAGTGTGAATTTTGCATAAAGATCAACAAATAGATTAATGTAACAGATTATGGTTTCTACAAATGTACCTATAATTATCAAGTTGATTAATTCTCAACAAAAGGCAACAAACCAAGGAAGAAAAATAACATTTTTTTTTCTAAGTCTGTTCAAATCTTTTATTATTATTATTATTATTATTATTATTATTATTATAATACTTTAAGTTCTAGGGTACCTGTGCATAACGTGCAGGTTTGTTACATATGTATACTTGTGCCATGTTGGTGTGCTACACCCATCAACTCGCCAGCACCCAACTCGTCATTTACATCAGGTATAACTCCCAATGCAATCCCTCCCACCCCCCCATGATAGGCCCCGGTGTGTGATGTTCCCCTTCTCGAGTCCAATTGATCTCATTGTTCAGTTCCCACCTATGAGTGACAACATGCAGTGTTTGGTTTTCTGTTCTTGTGATAGTTTGCTGAGAATGATTGTTTCCAGCTACATCCATGTCCCTACAAAGGACACAAACTCATCCTTTTTTATGGCTGCATAGTATTCCATGGTGTATATGTGCCACATTTTCTTAATCCAGTCTGTCACTGATGGACATTTGGGTTGATTCCAAGTCTTTGCTATTGTGAATAGTGCCACAATAAACATACGTGTGTATGTGTCTGTATGTGTCTTTATAGCAGCATGATTTATAATCCTTTGGGTATATGCACAGTAATGGGATG